TATTGAGAGATTCGAGTCTCTCGTTCAGAGACTGGATACGAAATGAGGATCTCTCTATGAGCGACTCGAGTCTCTTGTTCAGAGACGCTAAACAGTTTTTTTGACAGTCTCTCTCAGCGACACCAGAGAGACTCGATGAGAGACGGAAACTCGAGTCTCGCTTTCAGAGACTCTAACAGACTGAACATTTTTATTTCGGGTAGGAAATATAAATGCTTTTTCATTCAAGACTTTCAATAAATATTTTTTACGTGAAAACAATAATAAATGGGTAACCACAATTGATCAGTTTGACAAATGAACAACACAGTCGAAGGGCTTGAACCGTTTAACGCCTCCCTTTGTTTACGCATCTGTTAAATGCATCATTTGTACCTACTGCAGAACACCTATTAAATTGAAATTGTTTGTGGTGTACTACTATCCATTCGAGTTACATTGTAGTGCAATATTTCATGAGGCAAAAATGTGTTTAGATCGACGTGACAATAAAATACCTAAGTGCGAGGGTGTTGAATTGCTAGCGCTTACGTGAAAATGCGCGAGAAGGGCAAAAGAAAGGGTGAGAATTGCGAAGGAGTCAGAAAGAGAGAGAGAGAGAAGTAACATATCTTTCCTTCATGCTTAATGAGCCGTGCTGACTAGATGCTTTTACTCCATCTCCCATATATACAACCACGGTTGGCCATTAAGAAGTAGCGCAGTAGTTAGAAAGTTTCCAGGAGCCTGTCATATTCCCTTCCTCGCCCTGTCCCGTAGGTCGTAGATTAACGTCCTTTTTGATTGAATTATGTTTTTCGCGGTTACGTTATTATTAACGCACTAAACGATAATTTATTGTCGATTTCGCTTAGAATATCAGAAACGTATAAATAAAATTCTTTCTAAAGAAAAAAAAAGGTAATACATTGAAACTCGTTTATAAAAGCTGAGATAAAGTGAGCAAATCATAAGGACTGACAAGACTCACTTTTTTGGCCAACCCTCGAGCTTTTTAAATACTATTTTTTATAGCTTCGTTCTTAATATACATATGTATAAAATGAGGTGAAGATCCAACTAAATGTGCTTTTAGTTTTAGCAAGGAAAGTACACAACTCTGACCCAAAGTCACATAAAGAATTCAAAATTGGACTTTAGTCAACTTTTCATTGCAGTTAGTGTATTCTATAGTGTTCTAATGAGAAGTAATAATTTCCAAATAACGATCCGTATCTTTTGGTTTCCACATTCTGTCATTAACGTAACATTTTTTATTAGAATACTAGCTTTTCCCCGCGGCTTCTCTTGCAGAAATTAATAGATATTGTTTTTCCATAAAACCAACTCCCAATTCACCCTTAGAACGTTTTAATTTTACGTAATGTCGAAATCATAGATTTTAAATACAAACGTAGCAACATACGTATGGCTTAATTTTTAAAAATTGCCCAAACACGTATTTGCTTAATTTCAACAATTAGCAACCTTCGAGTAAATCCGAGTACAAATAACATATACCCCATGTAAACGTTGCAACCCTTTTTCATTTGATTAATAATATCAAACAGCAAACAGCTTTGGAGGTTGGATTTTTTTAAATGTCGAGATAGGTCTTTCTTAAATGAGACACCATTAAGACCAGTTTTCAAGTAAATCGGACCAAAAACAAATATGCAATCTTTACAAAAAAACCCCTTTCAGCTTCCTAAAGAGGTAGAATTTTGTAAAATGTTGAAATAGGTATGTATGTCACTAATTTTATATGAAGAAGCAATAAAGCCAAGTTTCAGGTAAATCTGACTATAAATAAAACACCATACTTCACCATAGATAACATTACGTTTAGTTGTCAGATGCGTTTTGTTATACCATTTTTAACAAATGAACGGCTAGAGTGATGTTTTGACTGATAAATTTTTCGTTGCGTTTTGTCATTCCATGTCAGTTGCGTTTTCTTATACCACTTATTTTTTCCACGGGAACGGAATGAAAATTATCCTATGTCCAACTGCTGGTTCTAAACTATCTCCCCACCAATTTGCAGCCAAATCGGTTCAGCCGTTCTTGAGTTTAAATAGTGTAACTAAAGCGACTTTCTTTTATATAGATTTAGATTTATAGATGTACATGATGCTATGGATGGTTTGTAAAGATTTAAAAATTTGAGACTTTCTCTTTGCTCGACGCAGTTCATCAATCTGCTCGGTCCTCTATCTTTGATAATATAGCGTTGAAATGCCATCCGAAAATTCGGTTGGCACTGAAAGATAGATGGTTATCTTTTGTCTTATCCGCGGCCTCCCGCGACTAATCATAAAAATCGCAATCTTAAGAATGGAAAATAACTCCGGCTTAATTTATCCAAAATGAGATCAGCGGTGGTTGCGAGTTTTTGCTTTTAATATCGCGTCGCGTCGCCGTCGTCGATGGCGCGCGAGACAAGCGACGTCGTTGTTTTCCTCCATCCCCCGAGACATATCTCCTCTAATCCCCGTCCCGTTTACCTACTCGCAACCCCCGCTACGCGTTTCCTTTTAAAACTCGCTTTAATTAAACCATTGTTACGAGTTGGCGTAATGAAGCTTGAAAATAATTAGGTTAGGTCATATAATTTTGATAAAATAAAGGGCCTCGCAACGAACGTTGTTTACTATCTGGACGCAAAAATAAAGCACGGCTCATTCCGCGGTCTTTATAAGCGGATATTACCTGTATTTTCCTCCTGCCATCCAAGACGCTTTCGCCAAGAAAATTATTACTAAAGCGCAATGAAATTCTTGTCAAATGAATGCTGCGGAATTTGAGCAGTAAAAAGTAGAGAAGAAAATCTTAGGAAGGAAGCTAGATAATTTTCAATCGATAGATACACATATCTAAGATAAGAAACGGATCTTAATTTGTATTCAATAATTTATAGTTTTTAAGGGATTTTGAATCCCGGAAAATACATGTAAAAGTAAGTAAAAGATTGGAGATAACATCTTGGATGTTAAAATCCCTTGTACGTTCTTTTTGTTAACATTTTTATGTTATTTTGAATTTTAGTAGATATGTTATGTAGATATGTAGATATATTGTGTCATCGTCATCTCATTATCATGGGCTCATAAGTCCTAAGCCTGAATAAAATAATTCGAAGTGGTCTGTATTCTGTCGAAACTGCCAGACGCGGATCGCGATTTCGATCTATTTGGATCTCAT